CCCCAAAACCCCAAAACCCCAAAACCCCTGAATAGAGATAAATAATTGTATTTATAGTATTTATTAAGTAAAAATATTTCAAAATGCAGAGGTAAGGCAATTTAAGCATAATAGTTCCTGTTGACCTTCGTTCTCTGGGTAAAATGCATATCTTTATCCCATACATGGTATAAATTCTAGCTCTATCTCACATAAGCATCCAGGATTATATTTTTGCGCCGTTTAATCTTCTCTTATTTTCTTTGAAAATAATAACCAGGCTGGATGAACTTTTTATGAAAAATTTGATTTTTACTATTAATTTTGAGATGTGCAGCATTTCTCCTTGCAGAGCTATCAAACTGGCATAATATTTAACCAAACAATGTTGCTTAATATCTTAAGAAAATTCGTAATTTTTGGTCCAAATTGTAGCTAACTTCTTTTAAATTTCCTAATATAGCAACCAAATCGACGATATCGTGAAGAAGATTGCGAATTATAAGATCAATCAGTAAGTAAATTTCGAAGGTTTTTACTCTAAATTTATCAAATATTCGCTCCAATGGAGAGGTGAATTTTGCTGTTTTAATTCTGAAATGGCAAGGTTTGGCGCCCAAGTCAACGTCTTGGGCTAAAAAATTGTTATCAATCTGTATATAGCAATAGAAAACCGTACAGTCGGAATAAGAAACCAGAGATCGTCAAGATCCCACTCGGCTTTTTACCCGGGCATCATTTCAAAATCCCTGAAAATGGAGAAATTGACTTGAAGAACCCTCTAGGGAAACCACCGATAAAATCCAGGAATAGAGCAGTCGGTCTCCTTCCAGCAAAGAGGTTCAATACTCACTCTAGTCTAAGCTTGAGCAAGATTAATGCTAGTAAGGAAAGATGTTGACAGGCATAGTTCACCAGAACTTGATCCGAAAGGTCGACGCAAGGTAGGCAATATAATTTACCTCTAGCCCCACCAAGAGCAGGAGTGTAGAACGTGCTCACAAATGTAATCCTTTATTGCCAAACTAACTCGCATGTCTTACATCCTCTATAGTATGAAAGCTTGAAGCCAAGTCAAGAAATATCCTCCAAAGGAACGAATTTGAAAGACTTCAGAAAGAATAGGAAAGCGACAGAATTCTAGAACTTTTCAACAAAATTATTTCATTCCTCTCATAATAATTTCAATCTTTTTGTAATACAAAGGGGTTTTGGGGTTTTGGGGTTTTGGGGTTTTGGGGTTTTGGGG